CACAGCGTCTGTATGTAATGACTGTTATTCACCTACTGATGACACACACACATTCTTCCAGACAAACATTACTCACACGCATACCATACCACATTCTATGATAACCACTACCACAACGTTAACCCTCTATGGACCGAATATATATTTTTCTTGACTATAAGAATTGTATGTAACATGAAATGAACAAATATCAACCAATAAATTCAGCAGTTTTGACAATTTTGTTATAACGAATTTATAGTGAAAGTTTGATTTAACAACGTTCGTACTGTGCCAAGATAATGTGCAATAGATAGAGAAGATAATTTTCCACGCTATCTCGTGGGAAAAAGGTCACAGGGGGCCATAGAGGACCTAACCTATCATAATCGAATAACCGATAGATGAAAAAGAATTAGAATTTTTGAAAATGGACCGAATGAATGGGAGGTACTGTAAAAATAATTATAAATATATCGAAAGAAAAATTGCGAATTGGAGTGATCAAGACGATAACGTTACATGCAGTATTTAATAAAATACCCATACACTAGCATGTAACTTGAAAGTTACAGGGGCCCATAGAGGGTTGAGATAGTCCAGAGCCTTGACACAGTCCAAGTGAGTCACTTGAACTTTGCTACCACGAAATAACCACCCCTACTGTTGTAGTAAAATTAAATAGCAAAGTAAACTTTACATCCTAACGATATAGGGGCGATCCCTGCTCAGCGTTTTGTACTGTGACCTGCGTGGCCCTAAACAGGCCAGTTTAAACCGTTTGCACGTTCAATAAACATCTATACAGTTTTTCCACCGTTTCCACTGGCTATTATTTCTTTGCGTTATAACCCTTTTAACCCCTTGACTACTGCAGATTTTGATACGTAGCGGCAATACTATACGGCAGGAATTGAGATACGATGTGCGTCATTTCTGTGAAAACAAGCGCCCTCCATGTCAGAAAGCTAAAATACGCCGAGCATCTATAGACGCCCTCCGTTTCACAAACGCAAAATTGCTAAGCACCTATAGGCGTCCTCCGTGTCACAAATGTAAAATTTCTATGCACCCATAGGCGCCCTCCGTGTCACAAACGCAAAATTTCTAAGCACCCATAGTAGCCAAGCGGTTAACATCTACCATAAAAGAACCTCCTTCTTTTCATTGGGCAATACCCTATTCTAAATAACCCAATTCACCAAAAATAAAATGGTATTAATTGGATCCTAAACTCGGAAGTTTCGTTTATTCGAATTTTCCAGTACACCGTGACACGATACAGGCAAATATACAGTAGCTCACAAAAATATTCAAACGCTATGCAAATTTTAAGACGATACTCTAACTGAAAAATTCTGATCTTAATGTAAGTATTCATGTACGTGAAGTATAAAGAGTTACACGTGAATCAATTTTTCTTACTCGCAGATATTACTTCACGCTGGTGAAATCATTATTCAAAGTCATAATCCTATCTGTTTCTTTAAATATAATTGTACAATGATGCGAGATAAAACGTAGCTTTTTAATTTTTAGCGTTTCATTAGTCCTACTGTAAAAATTTCCTGTAAGATCTCATTTAAAAAACAGAGATAATTGTTAAGACTCGAATCGTTGACTTAAACCCCTGAACGCCATTATCTATCCATGAGAAAGTGACTTCGTAACATGTTACGCTTTACGTACGTATATGCAAACTTTCATTAAAATCGGAATTTTCGAGATAAAGGATCCCTTTGAAACATAGCGTTTGAATAATTTCGTGACCCACTGTGTGTATAGAATATTTCAGTGCTGAAGCACTTGCCTTACGGTTTAAGTTCCACGGCACGTGTCACGGTGAACAGCAACGTGGGTCAACGAACGTGTCGAAGAATAACACGTAGACGAGACAAAGAAACATCGAGGAAAATTAACCGCGAGCCTGTACGAACCTGTCTCGCTTTGTTTACGTTGGGCTCTACGAACCTCACCTCACATCTGTGACGTGTTTCGTCCGATTGCGGAAATAAGCGAGCCTCGGTTACCGATAAGGAAGAGTGAGTGAGAAGCACTCGGCAGTGATAACTAGACTATCAAACAAAGAAATGATTCGCTTGATCCGGGAATGGACAAAGGAGGCCCACCTTGAAGAAGGGCAAACCGAGAAGCGAACGGAGGAATTTTATACGAGAGAATACTGTAGAAGAATAAATTACGATCAGCTACCGAGAATCACAGAATCCTTTTCTCCTACACGATTTCCTTACCACGAGTTTCACGCGATATCGTACGCGTGAAGGGGTTAAGGGATATAGTCGGAGATATGGCCCTACGCTAACCTCTTGCCCTACGATTTAAGTTCCTATGGCGTATGCTATAATCAACGACAGAGTCGGTGAAATGTCGAGAAATTCCAAGAATAACACGTAACCGGGACAAAAAGACATAGGCGGAAATTAACCACGCGTTTGACTAATGGAAATAATCGTTAAACTTTGTGGAAGCACTCGGCAGTGATAACCGGAGTATCAAACAAAGCAATGATTCGCTTGATCCGCGAATGGACAAAGGAGGCCCACCTTGAAGAAGGGCAAACCGAGAAGCGAACGGAGGAGTTTTATACGAGAGACGAGAGAATACTGTGGAAGAATAAATTACGATCAGCTACCGAGAATTACAGAATCCTTTTTCTTACCACGAGTCCTCACGCGATATTGTACGCGTGAAGGGGTTAAGGGATATAGTCGGAGATATGGCCCTACGATTTAAGTTCCTACGGCGTATGCTATAATCAACGACAGAGTCGGTGAAATGTCGAGAAATTCCAAGAATAACACGTAATCGAGACAAAGAGACATAGGCGGAAATTAACCACGAGTCTAACTAATGAAAATAATCGTTAAATGTCATGGAAACACGTCTAAATTACTATTTTCCTAGCCACCTAAATTACTAGATCCCCATAACCTCTGCTATGGGTCATAGACCACTCTATCACCCACCCAGATATTTCTTACAGCAGTAACAAAATTTTAAAAATGTAAAATAAACAGTACTCACTGAATTCTCCCTCCAGAACCTTCCTCCAAAGTCCTCTAGGGCGTGGCACACTCACCAGCGAAATCGGTCACTACACATTGCGTGCGAACGTGGCGGAGAATAACACGCAGCTGAGGCAGGAAGATGTCGGCGAAGGCACGTGCCACAATGAAACCAGAGTCACTAGAGTCACTCACGCGTCGAGTCGTTTCGTCCGAGCGCGTCGAAGAACAACGCGCAACTGAGGCAGACAGGGCTCGACGAAAATTGACCATGAGCCTAGCCCGCGATGTTTACATCGTTCCATATAATCGACTACGCCTCTCGTCGTTCACGCTCGTGCTTCGCTCGATTTCCTTACCAGGAAGTCCTTCCGTCTAAGCCGCGTGTTATTTTAAAATAGCTCGACTCGGAACCGACTTTCACGCAGATTATGACCCACGCCGAGGCGTTAAGCGACGTACGACGTTCCAGAATAAACCGCGCGAGGAATATAAAGCGTTCTCCTCGACGCCTCCAACCGGAGAGACTGAGATCGGCTTAATCGTGTTCGGAAGAATTCGGCTAAGAAAGATTAACACGGTGGACGTACGCTTCTCTGCCGCGCGTCGTCGCTGCTCCGTCATTATTTACCGCGAGCGTTGCCGGGGCGCGTAAACATCCCCTAATTTAATCGCTCGCGCGGGACGGGGACAGGGTGAGAAAGTTTGGCGCAGCTGTCGCGAGAGGAGAGTAACGGCGGCTGTATGTCGTCGGAGATGCCGTACAAGCGGGGAACCGGTGGCCATTCATAGGAAGATAGAAAGTGATTTAGAATCGATCGCGACGGAGGAATGGATGTCGGCGACTTTCGAAATCGTCCAACGGCCCCGGGAACTTCTTGAAAAGTCGCATTACCGCCCCTCCGCCGGAAACTCGAAACTAATTTGCCTGCGCCGTATCCTCGCGAGAGCCCCACGGATCCGACTGCCAGCAAACTTCCGCCCGGGGGAAACTAGGCTTGTAATGTCGTTCCAGGTGGAAGGAGGCTTGGGGAAGAAGACTCGGGGAGAAAGGTACAGGGTGCAGGCGAAGAGCCGTCGTTGGGGAAAACGAACACGGGAGTACGGGGAACGTGCTCCCCGTTGGAAAAAACGCGCTCGAACCGGGTACACGCACCCAGCTACCCTATGCTGGCCGGAGGAACGTAATTGCGAGGCAATCGTCGGTGTCCTTGGAGGACCGGGAGCCATCTGCTCCGCGGATGTCTCGCTGTTTTCCTTCCAGGCAATATTCCTGTTGTTTCGAGGGGTGGAGCGTTATGGGGCTTAAACGGACCTTCCGCCTGTCGGAGCAAGGGAATCCTCGATGGCGCGGGGGTGAAGTCGTAGCCAGCCCGAAATATTTTACCGTCGCGCGAATTCGTTGGGAACGGAGGCAGGGCACCGAGACGGTAGCCGGTGCGTAAAATCTTAGGACGGACGTCGATGGGGGGAAAGTTTGAGTGGAAAATTCGCGCGAGTCGTGAGTTTGCCTGGTTAGTGGTCTGTACTTCGAGACAGAGGCTTCGGTGAATTCTCGAGAGCGAATCTCGCAGGAGCGAGAAGAAGGTTTTGTCCGACTTTAATCCAGTCGGGTGGAAAAATGAGGAAAAATCGGAGATGATGAGACCGCTTGGAGACAGAGGGGAGGAAGCGTGATCGAGGGTAACGGAAACGCGACACTCGAATCGATTTTCGACGAAACACACGGTACTCCAATCCTTCGTCATGGCTGTTCGGTTTCTGTGCCGTAATATGTATATACACGCGTGTACATATATATTGATATATATACATGGATGGACGTGTATGCGCGTGTAGATATATATACGTGTGTGTGTATATATATATATATATACACGCCTGGAGAAAGAGACAGTCAGAGACAAGTATATCTGGCTGGCACACGGTTTATGTACACAGGTTCTTACAGCTACCATATGTCGATTTTTGTTGTTGCTCGTTTGAGACACCAACCAGCAACGGAGAGGCTGGTCGAGTATTCGGCCAGGCCAGCGACGTTGCTGATCTGGCACGTGTAGTTCCCGCTGTGCTTAGCGCTGACGTTATTTATCGTCAGGATGCTGGAAAACGGCGGATAGTCGCTTATCTGTATGTTGTTGCCCGTCTCGACGACGGCCGCGGTGGATCCGCCCGACGACGACGACGACGACGACGCCGAGGACGACGCCGACGCACCGTCACTCGGCCTGACCTGAATCGGTTTGTCGTCCATCAACCACGTGATGTTGAACGGCTGGTCACCCTGGCTCGTGGTACACATTAGCTGTGTCCTCATCCCCTCCGTCACACCGTTCTCGAAATAAAACGGCGAGATCCGCGGTGGAACTATAAACGTGACGTGTGATAATAGTATGTACCTGCATGCCGGCACTAACCGTTCTCCTATAAGCGCATCTCGACCAGAGACCGCGCTCTTCTCTTCGTATCCTCTTATTTCTTTTTTCTCTTTTCCCTTTCCTTTCTTTTTTCTATATATATATATTTTTTTTTTCATTCTTTTTTTTTTTTTTTTTTTTTTTTTTTTTAAGGGGTGGAAGATGAAAGGAAGTCGAGAGAGTGCATCGAACGCGTCACGGGACGAACGTACAACGCCACGGAACGACGAGACCTCCGATATATACGCTCTCTCCGACTTTGACGATATTCTCGAAAATAACGGCGCGAAGCGAGGCGAGCTTTCGATTCCGCACGTTTCGATTTAGAAACGAAACGTAACGGCAGCCCGGATAATTACGAACGAGATCGCGAAACTCCGCGAGACTTGGTAGGCGGCGGGTTGAAACGGGATTAATAGCTACGGCGTTGCGCGTCGAAAACAACCGAGAGTTAATAAATCTTCTTCCCGAACGTCTGAAATTAACATTAAAATACAACTGGCGGATACAAACTGCTCGGAGTTTAATCCGTTGCCGGCGCGCGAACCGGGCGTAATTAATGTTCCTCTCGGTGGCAACGACGATTCAAAAACGATCCGCAAAAAGGAAGCATCGCGACCCTATGCGATATCACCGTTATATTCCTCTGCCTCGTCCGCTGCGCAATTTCCAGCGGACTCGCTCGGTTATACCCGTGATCGAGGTCTCGTCGGTGCAACGACTGCGGGAGGTCACGAAGCACGAAATTCGCGATTGCGATGTTCGATCGAATCCGCGAGTCGATTACCGGTGACGCGAGCGCCGCGCGGTCGTCGCGGGTTCAGCCGTCCGACCGAGCGTCGACTCGCGCTACTTCGCTCGAATTTCCAAAGGGGGCGAAGCTCGCAAGAGGAGGGGACGGTTCTTGATAACCGCGATAACTTGGAGCTTCTGCTACGTGTTTCCCGCTACGTGACCTCCGAAACGTGGACGCCTGGACAGGTGCAACGGTGTGCCCCGCGAAAGCCCGGGGTACGTGAAAAATGGCCGCGCGACCATAAATATTCGGTCGCAGCGGCAAGCTCGCGTAGTCCGTGGCTCGGAAAATGAACATTTATGATCCGGAGTAACTGCTAATGTCGGCCAATGTGTCTTTACGAGACTGTCGGCGAAAGTAAGCCGAAACCCGTGCTGCCGGGCCATTTTAACGAACGTTCCCCTGGGAGAACGTTGAACCTCTGGCTCCTCGTTGTTCGCTTCCCCGACGCGTTCGCTTTGCTTGCTTCTTTTATCGTTCTCCGCGCTATTGCGAGCAGACTCGACAGCTTTCGATACGTCCAAAGGACGTACTTCGTTGCATCGTTTGGCTTTCTTTTCTCATTCGATTTGATTAGCAGTGAACTACTTACCAGGACCTATAGGGCGCAGAGCAGATCGATTATCGAAACGAGCGTGAAAACTAAGCGGGATCGAAAGAACACGAGAGAGCTCGCGTGAGCCGGATTCCGTGGTTCGAATATTCGGATATTTTCTCGACAGAAGATACAAAAAAAAAAAAAAAAAAAAAAAAAAAAAGAAATAAGAGAAATATGAAAGAAAACAGTGGCGTATATCGATGGGGATCATCGAGGATGCGCCACGGTGAATTTGGTGCGTGGAAACAACGCCTCGTGGAGATCTCTCGTATCGATTTCGCCCAAATACCATTTACTACTACGGTCTCAATATAATATAACTTGAATGACAATAATGATGATGATGATAGTACACAAAATCATAGAGAATATCTCGAGCGAAAACATAGCATATAGTCTCCATAAAAAGATACTGTTCTACTGGATAGAGTAATAGTGATTATAACGTAACTCGGTCAGAATCGGTCAAATACGTGACTGATACACGATATATACAACACAAATATCGAGAGAGCAACAAAGGTGGACGGTTCATTCGAAACGGGACAAAAGAGCAACACGACTCCTACTATGCGGATCGTGTGTTCGAGTTTTCGTTATACAGCGATCCGACGTAAAAGAGTACCATAGAAATTGGATATATACATATATATACAGTATGCCATACGTGTATACACAAAACGCAACACTAAATCAAGACATTACACGTGCCTCTCGTACACGTTAATGCCGAACGATGCGATGCACGGGGCGCGTGTTGCGCGCCAAGATTAAAAATCAGCAGGTAACTACTATCACGTAGAAGCGGACTGCACGCTGTGACATCGAGCCCCGAACTCCGCGGCCGCGGAGCGCAAAATTAAACGAAAAATCCTAATCTCACGCCGGATTCCCGTTTAATTTCGCGGCAGCCGCTTCGAAACCAGCCCGAACGCGGGCTTCTCCGCGAGCATTTTCCCGTGGAGAAGACAGCAGGGACAGACAGACGGACAGAGCAGTCGGAGAAACGGGGATGGTTAGACGAAACGATCGTACGCGTGTACGAGCACGTGTGCACGTAAGAGCAACGAGAGCTCGAAACTCGCTCCCGAAGCGGATTTTCAACGAGCGGCGCTTCGGTGTCACAGCTCCGCGACGACTGATTCGGCCCGATTATTACTGCAATCTTTACACGTTGCGATGGAAAAAAAAAAGAAAAATAAAATGCACGTATATGTATATACAAAGTCAGAGAGAGATAGAGAGAGAGAGCGAGAGCGAGAAAGAGAGAGGAGGAGACGTTCGTGGACGACAGTACGAGAAACAACTGGCAATACGTAACTGTTACACAGACAATATAGATATACATATGTATAGATATATATATACACGTATCAAGAGTATCCAGAGCAGGATAAATATATTATATCCGAAAAAGCGTGCAATTGGGCGTGCAAAAGAGAACAGCGTGCAAGGAGAGTCAATAGTCACAGAGAGACAGAGAGTGTGTAAAAAAGACAGAGAGAGAGAGAGAGAGAGATAGTAAGGAGGATTCAAAAATCGTAGGACGTTCAAGAGATCGAAAATTCGCGGCACGTCCGACCAGGGACACGGCGCTCTACTTGCGACGCCCGGCGACGACCACGGCCAACGAATCATCCCACAGCGTCGTCTCGATTCGCCCGCCGCTACTTCTAATCTAAATTGAAATCTAATAATCCGCGACGAGACGGAGCGCGGCACGTTTCGCCACGCTCGATATCCTCCGCGCGATATTTCCCTCCAGCCCTATCCGGGGCTAACGCCGTTACGGGGAAAACGGTGAAAAGGCTCCGAGAGAGCGAGAGCCGAGAGAAAAACCCGGCGGAGAAAAAAAGGGGGAGAGAAATGAAAAATAAAGGAAGCAAAAGTCGCGATCGTCACGAACGGTGGGCGAAAATCGTGCCGGCGCGGAAGCGGAAGTAGAGGCGCGGGGAGGCCCAGCCAGTCGTCGCCGGTCGAACGTGCCGTTGGGCGTGCACTCTGGACTAGCATCATAGCAGAAACAGGTCGCGTCGAATGACTTCGGGCAGCCTCTCTGTGTAATCTTCCGGCTCCGAGATCATCCGCGACGATCGTCAGTGTACGTGGTGCTTAAGAAACTCGACTCGCGAACGACGACAGAGGTGGATGGAGAGAGCTTCGACGGGGAAGCAAAATTAGCGCGATATTCGCGGACACGCGTGCAGGTAAAAATGGAACGGGATCGACGTGGATCGATCGATGACGGGGTGTTTCGCGGGACGGAGAAATTTCGCGAAGGCTCGAGTCGAAGGGGGATCGAAAATTCTTGCCGAGATGCGGCGGGAAATTGATCACGCCGCGATGCCGCGGCTTCGAGAGCACGCTGATTGATCGATCATACCCGTGCCACCGGTTAGAACCACCGCGATCCGATGTTTCCTTACCGACCGATCAATCAGTTACTTTCCCGGCGCGAGTACATAATCCGCCGGCCTGGAAAATTGCCAGTCCGTCTTTATTACGTTCGGTGAATCGCGAGCCGCGGCCCCAGAAGCAGACGGGCTCTGTTGCTCCGGATCGATCCGCGGAAACCGTGCGTTGCGTGTCACTTCCGGACGAGGATGATCGGCGTATCGAGCAGGCGCACAGGTATCGGTATCGGTAACCGGTCGAATTTTCACCTCGAGGAAAACCGCTGGGAAGGAGCCTGGTACTTTGGCACGCTGATGCGATGGGAAGCGACACCTCGTCGATACGCCGCTATCCTGGAATATACGTACGGTAGGTACGTCTAACGGTGGCAGGGTAACGGCGAACGCGTGATAAACTCGACGATCTCGAGACGTATCGAGGCATGCAGACACGTCGAGATCGATGCGATGGTTGGGTAACGCGTGTGCGGAAACGAGCCGGGGGAAGACACCGGGACGCGAGACGGCGACGAGAAAGGTGGAAAAAAGAAAGGAAGAACGAAAGAAAGAAAGAAAAATAGAAAGAAAGGGAGAAAGCAATAGAGGGAGAAAGAAGCGTCTCGCACCTCTGTCGGCGTGGGAGCGTGAACGAAGAAGTACACCAACGGTGTGCGTTTACCGTTGACGTGAAGGAGTGCAGAATGAGCGACGGTGGCAGCGTCATTGGCCACGCGACAGGTGTACGTGCCATTGTGCGCGGGTGCGATCGTGCTAATGCTCAGGGCGCTGGTAAAAGCGTCATATTGCCGGACGGTAATGGCCTTTCTCGGGGACTGTTCGCCCTGGCCGTCGGCCTTGGGGCCCCGCTTGGGCCCCTTAATCGCGTCTCCAGGACTGGCCGGGGCCTGAACGCGGCTATGGCTGGACGACGGAGCATCCTGCGACGTCCTGATCGTCTCTATCGGGACGTTATCTTTGAGCCACGTGAACGTCAGTGGCAGATCGCCAGTCACGACCACGCACTGTACGCTAGTACGGTCCCCTACGTTTAAATCGCGAGCAAAACTGAAAGGCGTGATTTTAGGTGGCACTGAAAGAACAATACAAAGACAAAGGTGGCATTCCAGTCAAAAGCGGTTCA